AGCTCTTGTTGTTGTATTGATCCTTTTACCACTATATCTTTGTTGCTTTAAAATCTATTTTATCTGATACGAGAATTGCAACTCCTGCTTTTTATTTATTTATTTATTTTTGCTCTCCATTTGGTTGGTAAATCTTTCTCCATTCCTTTGTTTTGAGTCTTTGTGTATCCTTGCATGTGAAACAGGTCTGGATGTAACATGCCGTTGGGTTTTGGCTGTGTCTTTTGATTGGGGGATTTAGTCTATTTAAATTTAGGGTTACTGCCATTTGATGTTAACTGACTGTTGATCCATTCGTTGATGAAAATTCTTCTTTATGTTGGTACTCTTTACTTTTTGGTATATTTTTAGTAAGGCTAATACTGGTTGTTTCTTTCTGTGTGTAATGCCTCTTTCAGAAGCTCTTGTAAAGCAGGCCTGGTGGTAATAAAATCTCTGAGTTCTTGCTTGTTCATAAAAGATTTTATTTTTCCTTCAGTTTGGCTGGATATGAAATTCTGGGCTGAAGGTTCTGTTCTTTGAGGATGTTGAATATTGGCCCCCACTCTCTGACTTGTAGAGTTTCTGCTGAGAGATCTGCTGTAAGTCTGATTGGCTTGCCTTTGTGGGTAACCTGACCTTTCTCTCTGGCTGCCCTTAGTATTTTCTCCTTCGTTTCAACCCTGGTGAATCTAACGATTATGTGCCTTGGGGTTGCTCTTCTTGAGGAATATCTTTATGGTGTTCTTTGTATTACCTGGGGTTGAATATTGACCTGCTTTGTTAGTTCAGGAAAATTTTCCTGAATAATATCCTGAAGGGTATTTTCCATCTTGGATTCATTCTCTCCGTCGCATTGGTACACCTATCAAACGTAAATTTGATCTTTTCACATAGTCCCACATTTCTTGGAGACTTTGTTCATTCCTTTTTATCCTTTTATCTCTAATCTTGTCTTCTTGTTTTCTTTCATTAAGTTGGACTTTGACCTCTGATATCCTTTCTTCTGCTTGAACAATTCGAGTGTTTAAACCTGTGCAAACTTCTCGGAGTTCCTGTATTGTATTCTTCAGTTCCATTAATTCACTTATATTCCTCTCTAAGTTGTCTATTCTCGATAGGATTTCGTCAAACCTTTTTTCAAAGTTCCTAGTTTCTTTACATTGGGCTACAACATGTTCTTTTAACTCACAGAAGTTTCTTATTATCCATTCCTTGAAGAGTGATTCTGTCATTGGGATGCGCTCATTCTCCGTCAAGCCTTGTTCCATTGTTGATGTGGAACTGTGATCATCTTTAGAGGGAGAGGCGTTCTGATTTTGAGTATTCTCAGCCTTTTTACGCTGGTTTCTTCCCATCATTGTAAATTTATCCTCCTGTCGTCTTTGAAATTACCAACTTTCAGATTAGGTCTCTTGATTGGACGTCCAAGTTGTTAGTTCCCAGGGCCAGAATGGCAGCGTTAAGACTGCTGGTGCTTTTCTGCCCAGGATTCTTCTGTCTGACTTCCTTCTTGTGTCCATAAAGGGTGACTCTCCCTTCCCGGGGCTCCAAACCTTGGTCAGAAGGGGAACCAGTCTCGTTTACTCTGTGCTTAGAGCTGCCGTGCTGAGGTGCTGTCACAGCCGCTGCGCGGGTCTCAGAAGTCGTGCTGGGGACCCGTGTGGGTCCTTTAAACCTCAGTCAGAAGGGGAGCCGGCCCTGTTTACTCTGCTCCGAGAGCTGCCGGCGACGTGCCGGCGAAACCGCTGCGCCAGCCACAAGAGTTGTGCTGACGGCCCGTGTGGGTCATCCACTGGGGATCTTCTGCTTCGTGAGCGACCAGAATTTGTCTTAAAGTGTGGCGTCCTCTAGTTCTCTGCGCTTTGAGAGCTGCAATCCCGAGCTGTTATCAATCGGCCATCTTGGATCGTTCCTCCTCTTTTTTTTTTTTTTTTGAGACAGAGTTTCGCTCTTGTTACCCAGGCTGGAGTGCAATCGCGCGTTCTCGGCTCACTGCAACCTCCACCTCCTGGGTTCAGGCAATTCTCCTGCCTCAGCCTCCTGAGTAGCTGGGATTACAGGTACACGCCACCATGCCCAGCTAATTTTTTGTATTTTTAGTAGAGATGGGGTTTCACCATGTTGACCAGGATGGTCTTGATCTCTTGACCTCATGATCCACCCGCCTCGGCCTCCCAAAGTGCTGGGATTACAGGCTTGAGACACCACACCCGGCAGTTGTGTTATTTCTTAGATGATGTATTGCCCACTGATTTATCTTTCTGGAACTTTTATTTTTCAGATGATGGACCTTCTGAATTGACCTTCTGAATTACTTCTGTTAGTTTTCATTTTTTTAATCTCTTCTATTCTACCTTTTTTTTTTTTTTTTTGAGACAGAGTCTTGCTCTTGTCACCCAGGCTGGAGTGCAATAGCATGATCTCAGCTCACTGTAACCTCTGCCTCCTAGGTTCAAGTGATTCTCCTGCCTCAGCCTCCCATGCCTGGCTCTAATTAAAAATATTTTTTAAAAAGAGAGAAAAAAGGCTGGGTGTGGTGGCTCACACCTATAATCCCAGGATTTAAAAAAAAATTTTTTTTTTTTTAATGTTAGTTCATGTCTTTAATTAACTAATACACACTTATCTTCTGGTTTGTTGAAGCAGTAAGTCAGACCACATTTGTCACGATAATGTCTGTTAAAGTGGTTTCTCATAAATACTCCAACACCACATTCATCAGAAGGGTACTCTTGACAAAGGCAACTAATTTTGCCATTCTCATCCACAGCCAGCTGAACCTTCTTTCTTTTGTGCTTATTCTTCTTGGGAGTGGTATAAGACTTCTTCCTTTTCTTACCGCCACCAGGAAGTCTCAACACAAGATGAAGAGTAGACTCCTTTTGAATGTTGTAGTCAAAGTTCAGTCTTTGCTGATCAGGAAGAATTCCTTCCTTATCCTGGATCTCAGCCTTTATACTTTCTGTCATATCCAAGGGTTCAACCTTGAGGGTGATGGTCTTACCTGTAAGGGTTTTCACAAAAATGTGCTTTTGCAGATGGCAGATCTTTAATTTGTGTGTGTGGGAGGGGAGGGGAGACAGAGCCTTACTCTGTCGCCCAGTACAGTGGTATGATCTCAGCTCACTGCAACCTCTGTCTCCTGGGCTCAAATGATTCTCCTGCCTCAGCCTCCTGAGTAGCTGGGATTACAGGCGTGTGCCACCACACCCGGCTAATTTTTATATTTTTTGGTAGAGACAGGGTTTCACCATGTTGACCAGGCTGGTCTCAAACTCCTGATCTCAGGTAATCCGCCTGCCTCAGCCTCCTAAAGTGTTGGGATTATAGGCGTGAGCCACTGTGCCTGGCTTTTTTTTTTTTTTAATAAAATGGTGTCTTGCTATGTTTCCTAGGCTGGTCTCAAACTCCTGGGTTCAAGTGATCCTCTTGCCTCAGCTTCCCAAGTAGCTGGGACTACAGGTGCATGCTGGTACACCTTGCTTTTCTGTTTATTTTGACCTATGTTTTTCAGTTAAGAGGTTTTCCTCAAATGTCGGATAATTCTTGGTTCACTTATATTTGAGGCACTAAAAACTTATTTTCAGAGCTCTGTGAATGAGACAGTAAAAGTTTGTTTCAAAGCTCTTTTATTTCAAGAGTAGAAATAAAAATTCATTGACCTGAGATGATCACTTAGTATTAGAGACTCTTATCTGCTGATACCTATGAGACTTTCCTGGAATATCTCAATTCCTCCGGAGACATATTTGTAAATCTCTTGCCTGGCTGTTGGTGATGTGGATCAGAAGAAGGAAGGGAAATTTGGTCTTATGGTTCAGTCTGCAGACTTTCACCTAAAACCCTAGTCTTTCCTGTGGCTGGTGTTCTCTATCTCTGAGTCTCTAGTTCAGTTTCTCTAGAGAGTAATTTTGTAGATTCCTGTACAGACAGAATAGAGGTTGTGCGGGGACCTGAGGATTCTAAGACTTTCAGATCACCCATCCACTGCCTTACCCCCACTTCCCATTCTGCCTCTGTCCTCAGTTGCTGTGTATTTAGAGCAGGTTCATTTGTTTTATCTCTCTGCAGGTCCTTATGCTTGACCATTGTCCCTTCTGCTGAGTAATCTGTCATCCTTCATATATTATGGTTTACAGTTACAGATGACGTCTAGTTTTACTGATGATGGAGCTTCTGTTTCTCATCCTCTCTTGATTTGGGGTGATACTTGGTTTTGGGTTTTTTGTTTGTTTGTTTTTGAGACTGAGTCTCACTCTGTCACCCCATCTGGGACGGGTTGATCTTAGCTCACTGCAACCTCTGCCTCCCAAGTTTTAAGTGGTTCCACTGCCTCAGCGTCCTGAATAGCTGGGATTACAGGCATGTGCCACCACACCCAGCTAATTTTTGTATTTTTAGTAGAGATAGGGTTTCACCACATTGGCAAAGCTGGTCTTGAACTCCTGACTGTAAGCAGTCTGCCCACCTCGGCCTCCAAAAATGCTGGGCTTACAGGTGTGAGCCACCACACCTGGCCAATCTGGGGTGATATTTGAAAGAAAGAAGGCAACAAACACCATTTTTAAAACTTAAAAACTTATACTAAACTTAGTAGTAAAGTAGGATTTTTATATTCTCAGTGAAATGTTTTCTGAACATTTTTGTCTAAACTGGCATATTACCTTTCTGTGTTTTGATAAACTCTTAGGTTGACAAAACAATTAACTGTCATTAAGAAAAAGAAAGAACCAATTTTAATGCTTTTCTCTTGATGGGAATATTGACTTTTATTATTTGTTCATATTTCAAAGCAGATTGTTATGTACATCTCATTTAAATTTATGACCTACCACTGAGCACGATTAGGTATTATAGGAAAACTTTAGCAGTTTGAGAACTCAAATTTTTATCTCCAGTAATCTAGCATAATATAATTTGCACAAGTTATTTTTTCTTGGTTCTATAGTTTTCTTTACAGAATGGCAAAGACTGAAATTGCTGTAAAATATTAAACTGTGGTCTTTCTCTTCCCCCAGGTTCTTTTAGAGCAGGATATATTTCATCGTTCCTTGATGGCTTGTTGTTTGGAAATTGTGCTCTTTGCCTATAGCTCACCTCGTACTTTTCCTTGGATTATTGAAATTCTCAACTTGCAACCATTTTACTTTTATAAGGTGAGATGAAAACAAAGTTCTGTTACAGAAACATTGTATTTATCTTAGTGTTGAAGAAAAACACTGTTGTGATATCTGGAAAATGTTTTTTGAAAATATATGTGTTCTGAAAATATATATTCCTGGCTGGGCATGGTGGCTCACACCTGTAATCCTAGCACTTTGGGAGGCCGAGGCACAAGATCACCAAGATCAGGAGTTCAAGTCCAGCCTGGTCAACATGGTGAAACTCTTGTCTCTACTAAAATACAAAAAATTAGCTGCGCATGGTGGCAGGTGCCTTTAATCTCAGCTACTCGGGAGGCTGAGGCAGGAGAATTGCTTGAACCTGGGAGGTGGAGGTTTGCAGTGAGTGGAGACCACACCATTGCACTCTAGCCTGGGCGACAAGAGCAAAATTTCATCTCAAAGAAAAGAAAATAAATATTCCTTTTGGATGAAATCAAGAACACAAGAGAGGGTTGAGCATGCAGTGGCTCACACCTGTAATCCCAGCACTTTGGGAAACTGAGGCTGGAGGATGGCTTGAGTCCAGGAGTTTGAGGTTACAATGAGCTATGATTGTGCCACCACACTCCAGCCTAGGCACCTGAGCAAGACCCTGTTTCAAATATAAAAAGAGAGAGAGTGAGAGTGTCAGTAAATTGTCAGTCTTATAGCTTCAGTTCCTTTTTTATTATGGACTTCAAAATGTGACCTGGAACTAGTACTTTTAACTTCACATTTTCCATATTTATGAATGAATCTCACTTACCTTTGTTTTTCTTGTTAGAACTATCTTTATTAACCTTTTCAAAATAAAACAGAGGTCATAGCTATTGAACCACATCACCCTCAGTAACATTTAGTCATCACAGTCAATAATGTTTAATGTTACTTCGTATCTGAATTGAAGACTAATGCTACTGTTATGCTTCTTGGTATGATTTAGTTAATATTAGGCATCTAGGCTACTTTTCAAACTACTGATGATAGAAAAATTGGTTTCAAGAGTTAATTTTTTATACCTAAAGTACGCCTGAGTTAAAGTTGTAGAAAATGCAGATCACTGGAAAGCTTATCTGTGTGAATTGTTGAGTGTGATTAAAGTATTTTTAGGTTTCTTATGGAGAAGTGACTTTATATACTTAATCTAATGTTAATGTGTATATTTAATTTTGGCCATTAGGAAAAATTTAGTTTTGCCTAACGGCAAAAGTTATTTGTGGCATAGTAATTTGTCTTTATTTGTAACATCCTTATTTTATTCAAGAAGCCAAATGCCTTTATATTTTTAAACCACATAAATGATATGTGCTCATTGAAGAAAATCATAAAATAAATATAAATGTGAATATTAAAGTCCTACATCATAATTATTAACAATTATATTACAGTTGGTATTTCTGTGTATATAAACTTTATTCTAGATATTTCCCTTATTAAAATAGAATTGCACTGTATATAAGCAAAGTCACTTTAAATAATTTATTCATTCTGTTATTTTGAGTGAGTGATATAAATAGTCTGGAAAGGAGCAGTACATTCAAAGTAGAACTGGGCTTGGAACCCAGGACCTTACTTCTCCCACTGTTGGGCTGTTGACCAGTTTCCACCTGTCATTGCCTCTGTTTTTCATTTATAAAATAAAACGTGAAAATATTTTAAAGACCCTAAAAGCTCCTTTGTAAATGAGAAGATGTTAGTAAGCCACAGAATTACAGTTCAACGATGACTTTGGTTCTGTGCCGCAGAATTTAAGGCCACAGCGGCTAGGCGCAGTGGTTCACGCCTGTAATTCCAGCACTTTAGGAGACAGAGGTAGGTAGATCACCTGAGTCACCAGCGCGACTTTTTTGAGGTCAAGAGTTTGAGACCTGCCTGGCTAACATGGTGAAACCCCGTCTCTACTAAAAACTACAAAAATTAGCTGGGTGTGGTGATGGGCTCCTGTAATTCCAGCTACTTGGGAGGTTGAGGCAGGAGAATTGCTTGAACCTGGGAGGCAGAGGTTGCAGAGAGCAGAGAACACACCACCGCACTTCAACCTGGGCAACAGAGGGAAGCTCCATCTCAAAAAAAAAAAAAAAAAAAAGACTGGGTGCAGTGGCCCATGCCAGTAATCCCAGCACTTTGGTAGGCCAAGGCAGGTAGATCAAGAGGTCAGGAGTTCAAGACCAGCCTGACCAACATGATGAAACCCCATCTCTACTAAAAATACAAAAACTAGCTGGGCGTGGTGGTCCACACCTGCAATCCCAGCTATTCAGGTTGAGGCAGGAGAATTGCTTGAACCCAGAGGCGGAGGTTGCAGTGAGCTGAGATTATGCTACTGCACTCCAGCCTGGGCAACAGAGTGAGACTCCATCTCAAAAAAAAATAAAATAAAAAAGGGAGGACCGATCCAAGATGGCCGATCGCTAACATCTCGGGACTGCAGCTCTCAGTGAAGGCACGGAGGACTAGACGACGCCACACTTTCAGACAAATTCTGGTCGCTCACGGAGCAGAAGATCCCCAGTGGAGGAATCACACGGGTCACCAGCGCGACTTTCGTGGCCGGCGCAGCAGTTCCGCCGGCGCCTTGGCGCAGAGTAAACAGGTTCGGAGGACCCACAAGGGCCCCCAGCATGACACCAGAGCCCAGCGCAGCGGCTGTGACAGCACCCCCGCACGGCAGCGCTCGGCGCAGAGTAAACGGGACCAGTTCCCCTTCTGACTGAGGTTTGGAGCCCCGGGAAGGCAGAGTCGCCCACTACGGACACAAGAAGGAAGCCAGACAAGAGAATCCTGGGCAGAAAAGCACCATCAGTTTTAACGCCGCTGCTCTGGCCCTGGGAACTAACAACGTGGACGCCCACTCAAGAGACCTAATCTGAAAGTTGGTAAATTCAAAGACCACAGGAGGATAAACTTACAATGATGGGAAGAAACCAGCATAAAAAAGCTGAGAATACTCAAAGTCAGAACGCCTCTCTCTCTAAAGATGATCACAGTTCCACATCAACAATGGAACAAGGCTTGATGGAGAACGAGCGCATCCCAATGCTAGAATATCGCTTCAGGGAATGGATAATAACAAACTTCGATGAGTTAAAAGAACATGTTGTAGCCAAACGTAAAGAAACTAGGAACTTTGAAAAAAAGTTTGATGAAATCCTATTGAGAATAGACAACTTAGAGAGGAGTATGAGTGAAATAATGGAACTGAAGAATACAATACAGGAACTCTGAGAAGTTTGCACAGGTTTAAACACTCAAATTGTTCAAGCAGAAGAAGGGATATCAGAGGTCAAAGTCCAACTTAATGAAATAAAACGTGAAGAAAAGATTAGAGAAAAAAGGATAAAAAGGAATGAGCAAAGTCTCCAAGAAATGTGGGACTATGTGAAAAGATCAAATTTACGTTTGATAGGTTTACCTGAATGTGACGGAGAGAATGAATCCAAGATGGAAAATACCCTTCAGGAAATTATTCAGGAAAATTTCCTAAACTAGCAAAGCAAGTCAATATTCAACACCAGGTAATACAGAGAACACCACAAAGATATACCTCAAGAAGAGCAACCCCAAGGCCCATAATCGTTAGATTCACTAGGGCTGAAACGAAGGAGAAAATACTAAGGGCAGCCAGAGAGAAAGGTCAGGTTACCCACAAAGGCAAGCCAATCAGACTTACAGCAGATCTCTCAGCAGAAACTCTACAAGCCAGAAGAGAGTGGGGGCCAATATTCAACATCCTCAAAGAACAGAACCTTCAGCCCAGAATTTCATATCCAGCCAAACTGAAGGAAAAATAAAATCTTTTATGAACAAGCAAGAACTCAGAGATTTTATTACCACCAGGCCTGCTTTACAAGAGCTTCTGAAAGAAGCATTACACACAGAAAGAAACAACCAGTATCAGCCCTTCTAAAAATACACCAAAAAGTAAAGAGCACCAACATAAAGAAGAATTTACACCAACGAATGGATAAAACAGCCAGTTAACATCAAATGGCAGTAACCCGAAATTTAAATCCACTAAATCCCCCAATCAAAAGACATAGCCAAAACCCAACGGCATGTTATATCCAGACCTGGTTCACAGGCAAGGATACACAAAGACTCAAAACAAAGGGATGGAGAAAGATTTACCAACCAAATGGAGAGCCAAAATAAATAATAAATAAATAAAAAGCAGGAGTTGCAATTCTTGTATCGGATAAAATAGATTTTAAAGCAACAAAGATATAGTGGTAAAAGGATCAATGCAACAAGAGCTAACAATCCTAACACCCAGATACATAGAGACTTAGACACAATGAGACAGAAAATTAATAAGGATATCAAGGACTCGAACTCAGATCCAGAACAAGTAAACTTAATAAATATTTATAGAACTCTCCAAATACACAAAATAAACATTCTAGTCAATACCATATCACACGTACTCATAGGTTTAAATGACACATTGATTGACCATTATTAATACCCATTTTTTTTTTAAGAATAAAGCAATATTTCCAGTCACTCTCCCTCTTTCTCTTCCTCTTTCTTTCTCTCCTTTACTCATTTTTTTTCTTCTTTCCTTCACTCAAAAAAAAAAAAAAAGAAATCAACTTGTAAACCTCTAGATTCAGGTCGGCAATGTCTCTCTCATTGCTTGAATTCCTTCCTTCCCTTCCCTCCCTCCCTCCCTCCCTCCCTCCCCCCTTCCTCCCTTCCTTCATCCCTCCCTTCCTCAAAAAAAAAAAAAAAAGAATAAGGCCACAGCTAGTCCTACATGCAAGTCCAGACTAGAACTGACTGCTTGAAACCACATTATATTCTCAACTTTCTCCTCTGCAGGTTATTGAGGTGGTGATCCGCTCAGAAGAAGGGCTCTCAAGGGACATGGTGAAACACCTGAACAGCATTGAAGAACAGATTTTGGAGAGTTTAGCATGGAGTCACAATTCTGCACTGTGGGAGGCTCTCCAGGTTTCTACAAACAAAGTTCCTACGTGTGAAGAAGTGAGTCTGGGCAAGGCTGATAATCCTGTCATTAAAAAATAACAGCTTTATTGAGAGATAATTCATATACCATACAGTTCACCCATTTTAAGTGTACAGTTCAGTGGCTTTAGTTTATAAATAGATATGTACAGCCATAACCACAGTTTTTTTTGCAAGTAGTATTCCATTGTGTGGATGCTACATTTTATTTATTGATTCATCAGTGGATAAACATTTGAGTTGTTTCCACCTTTTGACTTTTTTTTTTTTTTTTTTTTTTTTTTTGAGACAGGGTTTTACTCTGTCTCCTAGGCTGGAGTGCAGTGGTGCCATCACGGCTCACTGCAGCCTTGACCTATGAGGCACAAGTGATATTCTCCTCTCTGCTTCCTACACCACCACACCTGGCTAATTTTTGTGGTTTTTGTAGAAATGCGATCTCCCTATGTTGTCCAGGCTAGTTTTGAATTCCTGGGCTCAAGCCATCCTCCCACCTCAGTTTCCCAAAGTGCTGAGATTACATGCATGAGCCACTGTACGTAACCCCCTTTAACTATTATGAATGATGCTGTTGTGAACATTCAGGCACAAGTTTTTGTGTAAACATATGTTTTCATTTTTCTTGGAGTGGAGTTGCAGGTTCATATGGTAACTCTGTTTAAGCTTTTGGGAAACTGTCAGACTGTTTTTTAAAGTGGCTGCACCATTTTATTGTTCCCAGCGACAGTGTAGAAAGATTCCAATTTCTTCATATCCTTGCTAATGCTTGTTATTATCTGCCTTTTTAATTCTAGCCATTCTAGTAGGTGTGAAGTAATATCTCATTGTGCTTTTGTTTTGCATTTCCCTGGTGGCTAATGATGATCAACATCTTTTTATGTGCTTATAAGCTGTTTGCGTGTCTTTGGAGAAATATTCATTCAGATCTTTTGCCCATTTTTTAATTGTCTTTTTATTATTGAGTTATAGAAGTTTTTCATATATTCTAGATACAAATCCCTTGTCAGATAAATGATTTGCAAAACTTTTCTCCCATTTCTAGGTTGTCTTTTCACTTTCTTGATGGTGTCTTTGGAATGCAAAAATTTTTAATTTTGATGGTGTCCAATTTAGATATTTTTTCTTTTGCTTGTGCTTTTTAGTATCATATCTAAGAAACTGTTAAACTTATTTAAAATTTTTCTAATGTCTGTGTAAAGATTGAACACTTTTCATTTGTGGTTTTTAGAATTCAATGAAAAATAGAGGCCAGGCTCGGTGGCTCATGCCTATAATCCCAGCACTTTGAGAGGCCAAGATGAGTGGATTGCCTGAGGTCAAGAGTACGAGATCAGGCTGGCCAACATGGTGAAACCCCTTCTCTATTAAAAATACAAAAAAGTGTCCGGGTTTGGTGATCCCAGCTACTTGGGAGGCTGAGGCAGGAGAATTGCTTGAACCTTGGAAGCAGAGATTGCAGTGAGCTGAGATTGCACCACTGCACTCCAGCCTGGGCAACAGACCAAGACTCTGTCTTAAAAATAAATAAATTAGGAATGATCCAAGATGGCCGATCACTAACATCCCGGGATTGCAGCTCTCAGGGAAGGCGCGGAGAACTAGAGGACGCCACGCTTTCAGACAAATTCAGGTCACTCACGGAGCAAAAGATCCCCCAGTGGAGGAAACACACGGGTGGCCAGCACGACTCTCGTGGCCGGCGCAGCGGTTCCGCCGGCACCTCAGCGCGGCAGCTCTCGGAGCAGAGTAAACAGGTTCGGAGGACCCGCACGGGTCCCCAGCAGGACACCAGAGCCCGGCGCAGCGGCTGTGATGGCACCTCGGTGCGGCAGCGCTTGGCGCAGAGTAAACGGGACCGGTTCCCCTTCTGACCGAGGTTTGGAGCCCTGGGAAGGCAGAGTCGCCCACTACGGACACAAGAAGGAAGCCAGACAGGAGAATCCTGGGCAGAAAAGCACCAGCAGTTTTAACGCCGCTGCTCTGGCCCTGGGAACTAACAACCTGGATGTCCAGTCAAGAGACCTAATCTGAAAGTTGGTAATTTCAAGACGACAGGAGGATAAATTTACAATGACGGGAAGAAACCAGCATAAAAAAGCTGAGAATACTCAAAGTCAGAACGCCTCTCCCTCTAAAGATGATCACAGTTCCACATCAACAATGGAACAAGGCTTGATGGAGAACGAGCGCATCCCAATGCTAGAATATCGCTTCAGGGAATGGATAATAACAAACTTTGGTGAGTTAAAAGAATATGTTGTAGCCCAATGTAAAGAAACTAGGAACTTTGAAAAAAGGTTTGATGAAATCCCATTGAGAATAGACAACTTAGAGAGGAGTATGAGTGAATTAATGGAACTGAAGAATACAATACAGGAACTCCAAGAAGTATGCACAGGTTTAAACACTCGAATTGTTCAAGCAGAAGAAGGGATATCAGAGGTCAAAGTCCAACTTAATGAAATAAAACGTGAAGAAAAGATTAGAGAAAAAAGGATAAAAAGGAATGAGCAAAGTCTCCAAGAAATGTGGGACTATGTGAAAAGACCAAATTTACGTTTGATAAGTGTACCTGAATGCGACGGAGAGAATGAATCCAAGATGGAAAATACCCTTCAGGATATTATTCAGGAAAATTTTCCTAAACTAGCAAAGCAGGTCAACATTCAACCTCAGGTAATACAGAGAACACCACAAAGATATTCCTCAAGAAGAGCAACCCCAAGGCACATAATTGTTAGATTCACCAGGGTTGAAACGAAGGAGAAAATACTAAGGGCAGCCAGAGAGAAAGGTCAGGTTACCCACAAAGGCAAGCCTATCAGACTTACTGCAGATCTCTCAGCAGAAACTCTACAAGCCAGAAGAGAGTGGGGGCCAATATTCAACATCCTCAAAGAACAGAACCTTCAGCCCAGAATTTCATATCCAGCCAAACTGAAGGAAAAATAAAATCTTTTATGAACAAGCAAGAACTCAGAGATTTTATTACCACCAGGCCTGCTTTACAAGAGCTTCTGAAAGAAGCATTACACACAGAAAGAAACAACCAGTATTAGCCTTTCTAAAAATACACCAAAAAGTAAAGAGCACCAACATAAAGAAGAATTTACGCCAACCAATGGATAAAACAGCCAGTCAACATCAAATGGCAGTAACCCTAAATTTAAATTGACTGAATTCCCAATCAAAAGACACAGCCAAAACCCAACGGCATGTTACATCCAGACCTGTTTCACATGCAAGGATACACAAAGACTCAAAACAAAGGGATGGAGAAAGATTTACCAACCAAATGGAGAGCCAAAATAAATAATAAATAAATAAAAAGCAGGAGTTGCAATTCTTGTATCGGATAAAATAGATTTTAAAGCAACAAAGATATAGTGGTAAAAGGATCAATGCAACAACAAGAGCTAACGATCCTAACACCCAGATAGGAGACTTAGATTCAGTGAGACAGAAAATTAATAAGGATATCAAGGACTCGAACTCAGATCCAGAACAAGTAAACTTACTAAATATTTATAGAGCTCTCCACTTCAAATACACAAAATATACATTCTTGTCAATACCACATCACACCCACCCATTAGTTTAAATGAAACATTGATTGGCCATTATTAATACCCAATTTTTTTCAAAATAAAGCAATATTTCCATTTACTCTCCCTCTTTCTCTTCCTCTTTCTTCCTCTCCTTTACTTATTTTTTTTTTGATTTTTTTTTTTTTTCTTTTCTTCTCTCAAAAAAAAAGAAATCAACTTGTAAACCTCTAGATCCAGGTCGGCAATGTCTCTTTCATTGCTTGATTTCCTTTCCTCCCCTCCCTCCCTCCCTCCCTCCCCGCTTCCTCCCTTCCTTCCTTCCTTCATCCCTTCCTTCCTCCCTACCGTCCTTATTCCCTTCCTTCCTGCCTTCCTCCCCCCGCCAAAAAAAAAAAACAAAAAACAAACAAACAAAAAAAAAGACACAGCCAAAACCCAACGACATGTTACATCCAGACCTGTTTCATATGCAAGGATACACAAAGACTCAAAACAAAGGGATGGAGAAAGATTTACCAACCAAATGGAGAGCAAAAATAAATAATAAATAAATAAAAAGCAGGAGTTGCAATTCTCGTGTCGGATAAAATAGATTTTAAAGCAACAAAGATATAGTGGTAAAAGGATCAATGCAACAACAAGAGCTAACGATCCTAACACCCAGATAGGAGACTTAGATTCAGAGACAGAAAATTAATAAGGATATCAAGGACTCGAACTCAGATCCGGAACAAGTAAACTTAATAAATATTTATAGAGCTCTCCACTTCAAATACACAAAATATACATTCTTGTCAATACCACATCAAACCTACCCATAAGTTTAAATGAAACATTTATTGGCTATTATTAATACCCAATTTTTTTCAAAATAAAGCAATATTTCCATTTACTCTCCCTCTTTCTCTTCCTCTTTCTTCCTCTCCTTTCCTTATTTTTTTTTTTTCTTTCCTTCTCTCAAAAAAAAAAAAAAAAGAAATCAACTTGTAAACCTCTAGATCCAGGTCGGCAATGTCTCTCTCATTGCTTGATTTCCTTCCTTCCCTTCCCTCCCTCCCTCCCTCCCTCCCTCCCCGCTTCCTCCCTTCCTTCCTTCCTTCATCCCTTTCTTCCTCCCTACCGTCCTCCTTTCCTCCCTTCCTGCCTTCCTCCCCCCACCCCCCCAAAAAAATTAATTAATTAATTAATTAATTAATTAAAATTAAAAATGTGTGCCCAAAGTTGTAGAAATTACATTTTTAATAGTAGTATCATGTGAGAAATTGAGGGTTTTTTTTCCCTGCTTCTGTTATTCTTTTGTAATTCCTATCTTTTGATTCTTTTATGTTTTGTCTCCTTATGCACTTCCTTAATCTTCCTGAAATTTTCCCTAATCCCAAACTACTAGAACTGTCCAAGGCCAGGAAGAATTGAAAAGAAGATGGCTGGCCGGGCGCGGTGGCTCAAGCCTGTAATCCCAGCACTTTGGGAGGCCGAGGTGGGTGGATCACGAGGTCAAAAGATCGAGACCATCCTGGTCAACATGGTGAAACCCCGTCTCTTCTAAAAATTAGCTGGGCATGGTGGTGCGTGCCTATAATCTCAGCTACTCAGGAGGCTGAGGCAGGAGAATTGCTTGAACCCAGGGGGCGGAGGTTGCGGTGAGCCAAGATTGCGCCATTGTACTCCAACCTGGGTAACAAGAGCGAACTCCATCTCAAAAAAAAAAAAAGAAAAGAAGATGGTTTCTTGAAATCTCTCTTCCATGCTTCTTTGGTCTTTTGCAGAAGACTGTGATTTATTGGGCACTCTTCAGTATTCATCAGTTTATTTCTATTGAAGAACTTTGAACTCCTTCAAGTTAAAAAAAAAACTATGAATTTTAAGAAGCATCAGTATTGAAGCCTTTGCTCTTATAACTTCGTAGTTGTGAAATTTGGCAAATTTCACATTCAGATCCTCAATTTTTGCATCCCTAAATGGAGAATGATACTGCCTACCTCATAGGTTTAGTTCTAGTGGTCAATAACTTACCTATATGAATTATAAGGTTTAAAGAAATGAACTCTCTTTTTTTTTTTTTTACGTTTGTTAACATTATCACTTGAGCACTTTATCCAAGTTGTATTTTGTGAAGACATGAGAAAGGGAAATAAAATATTTTTTAAAAAGTTAAGAAAACATTTTTTTGCCCAGGCACAGTAGCTCACACCTCTAATCCCAGCACTTTGGGAGGCTGAGGTGGGTGGATCACCTGAGGTCAGGAGTTCAAGATCAGCCTGGCCAATGTGATGATACTCTGTCTCTACTAAAAATATAAAAATTAGCTGGGCATGATGGCACACGCCTGTAATCCCAGCTACTTGGAATGCTGAGGCAGGAGAATCACTTGAACCTAGTGGGTAGAGGTTGTAGTGAGCCAAGATCATGCCACTGCACTCCAGCCTGGGTGACAGACTTAGACTGCATCTCAAAAAAAAAGAATTTTTTTTTCTACGTTTTAATCAGTTAGTTTATCTGTATGTAAAGCAGAGGGTTTTTGTTTTCTATAGGTTATATTCCCAAATAACTTTGAAACAGGAAATGGAGGAAATGTACAGAGACATCTTCCCATGATGCCAATGTCTCCTCTAGTGCATCCAAGAGTCAAGGAAGTTCGAACTGACAGTGGGAGTCTTCGAAGAGGTAGGTTCAACATTGGGAGAGTAACAAAAAAGTAACAAAGGTCTTTTTTTTTTTTTTTTGAGAGAAAATTTTAAGTCTTGTGAGTATATTATTCAGAAATCAGATTTCTCTATCAGGATTTGAAAAGGAGCTTGATGCTTGTGCTAGCACCCCTGTGTAGCTCATTGTATACTATATTATACACTATTATATATATTATATACTATAGTGTATACTATATTAATAGAATTTCAAATGTAGTTTATTTAATAAATGTATGTAATCTTTCCTGAATACTAATGGGAAACTGTTTAAATAAGCTAAAATCAGGCATGATGGCATCTTTCTGTAGTCCTAGCTACTCAGGAGGCTGTGGCAGAAGGAATGAGGATTGTGTGCTGGAGCCAAGCCTGGGCAAAATAGTGAGACCCCACTCCCCCATTCCCCCCCAAAAAAAAAGAAAAAAAGAAAGGAAAAAAAAGATAAGTGTATTAATCTGTTCTGGCACTGCTGATAAAGACATAGCTGAAGCTGGGTAATTTATGAAGGAAAGAGGTTTAATTTACTCACAGTTCCAAATGGCTGGGGGGGCCTCATATTTATGGTGGAAGGCAAAGGAAGAGCAAAGGCAAGTCTTCCATGACAGCAGGCAGGAGAGCTTGTGCAGGAGAACTCCCCTTTATAAAACCACCAGATCTCATGAGACTTATTCAATATCTGGAGAACAGCATGGGAAAGACCTGCCCCCATGATTCAATTACCTCCCACGACACATGGGAATTATGGGAACTACAATTTAAGATGAGATTTGGGTGGGGACACAGCCCAAGTATATCACTAAGCTAAATACCTAGTTTTCCAAATTTCCCAAATTTATATTCTTCCTTTGCCTGTGTAGGTCTCGGTAGAAAAACATTTAAAGCAAAACAGAATTCTTATTCTCGGCCCTGATGAAGGGGAGGTTCATTAAGTTCATCTAATAAACTACTTATTTCTACTCTTAAAGTAGTTCATTTTGAGACTTACCAATGGAAAGATTTTAGTTCATTCTTCCTTATTTTCTCTTGTGACGTAGCAAGCTGATGTGTGCATCTTGTGGGTTATACAGCTCTTGGATTTTAAAAAATCAGTTAAAATCTTCTGACCACATAGTATCCCTTAACAAATCTTAGATGAACAAGTATTCAGGTTACATAGTACGATACACCCATTTTTGGAGTCTGTGTGATTGTGTATGTATGTTTGTCTGTCTGCAGTCTTTGCTTTATATGCAATGCAGGATCATAAAAGCGATTGTAGGCCAGGCATAATGGCTTATGCCTGTAATTCCAGCACTTTGGGAGGCCGAGGTGGGGGGATCACCTGAGGTTGGGAGTTCAAGACCAGACTCTCCAACATGGTGAAACTCCATCTCTACTAAAAACATAAAAATTAGCTGGGCATGGTGGTGGACACCTGTAATCCCAGCTACTTGGAAGGCTGAGGCAGGAGAATTGCTTGAACCTAAGAGGTGGAGGTTGCAGTAAGCCAAGATTGCACCACTGCACTCCAGCCTGGGCAACAGAGCAAGACTCCGTCTCAAAAAAAAAAAAAAAAAAGGAGGCTGGCTGTGGTGGCTCACTCCTGTATGCCTATAATCCTAGCACTTTGGGAGGCCAAGGTGGGCGGTTTGCCTGAGCTCAGGAGTTCAAGACCAGCCTGGGCAGCACAGTGAAACCCCATCTTTACTAAAAATACAAAAAATTAGCTGGGCATGGTGGTGCATGCCTATAGTCCCAGCTACTTGGGAGGCTGAGGCAGGACAGTTGCTTGAACCCTGAACCCAGGATGCAGAGGTTGCAGAGAGCCAAGATTGCACCACTGCACCCCAGCCTGGGCAACAGAGTGAGACTCTATCTCCAAAAAAAAAAAAAGATTGCACAAGATGTGAATACTAAGTAATTTTAATCAGTGGGAATAATTATAATTGTTTTTTTGTTATACCCAAGCAAATTAGAAGGAAAGTGCCATACTCTGTGTTTCAATTGAGAGTCTCAAAAACCTCTCGGCCCTGATGAAGGGGAGGTAAAGTCTTTTATACCCATTTTTAGGGAGGGGAGGAGGAGCCTAGCTGAAGCGGAATTTTACAGAAGCAAAACAAGTAAGTTAGAAGGGGGAGTTGGTTACCAGGAGGTAAATGGTTCTCAAAATTGTTGTTTACTAAGCCGGGGAATCACAATAGCCGGGGGAATTGCCGAGCAGGATGTGGTTACAACGGTTACAAGGTCCTGGGTACAGCATGACCCAGCTGTGCACCCGAAGGGAGACTGGTGGGGAAGGTGAGGCTAAGATGGAGTTGGTCAGGCTCACATTTAAGATGGAGTCTGTTAGGCTCACTTCATTTTGACCTTTACCAATCTTGTCGAAATGTTTAAAAAAAAAAAAGAAAGAAAAACTCTTCTTACTGTCAGTTGTTAAAAATGTTTACAGAAATGAAAAAATAGTAAAAATATTTAGTATACTGTAATTTAAAACTTGGAAATATTGAGAATTCTTTTCTTTTTTTCTTTTTGTCTTTTTTTTTTGAGACAGAGTCTCACACTGTTGCCTAGGCTGTAGTGCAGTGGCACAATCTCAGCTCACTGCAATCTCTGCCTCTTGACTTCAAGCAATTCTCCTGCCTCAGCCTCCCAAGCAGCTGGGATTACAGGCATGCATCACCACGCCCAGCTAATTTTTTTTGCATTTTTGGTAGAGATGGAGTTTTACCATGTTGGCCAGGATGGTCTTGATCTCCTAACCTTGTGATGTGCCTGCCTTGGCATCCCAAAGTACTGGGATTACAGGCTTGAGCAACCATGCCTGGCCTATTTTCTTTTTAAAAAAACTTACCAAAAATAGTTTAAACTGTGCTTGCCACCTTCCTCATATAATTTATAACTGAGTGAGCATTTTTTCTGTACCTTGGCAAATTGTCATGTTTCTTTCTAATTTGGATCAGCTTTTCATTTATATATTCATTACATTCTTATTGAATATCCACCATAGCTTTTCCAGTACTGTGCTAAGAAGAGATCATTTCAAGGGAGTTGCAGCTGCTTTATGGTGTCAACTTGAGTCTTCCATTGAATTGTCACCTTTGAATGTGCCAGATTCAAGGGCTCATGTGGATTTCTTAGTTACAGGGCATTAAGATGGACTCTTGTAAAGGAGTATGGAAACTACTATAGAAATTTCCACTTGTTTACTGAAGACAGGCAGTGGAAGCTACTTTCATAAGCCCAAGAATTATGGAAAGATTTTTATTAAACCATAACTATGTCCCCAGTCATCTCACTAATACAGAGAGTTTCTAAATCATTGCTGGGGATCATTTTAATACCTTTTAAGCATGTTTTGAAAATAGATTACATGACTATCTAATTAATCTAGTGAATGTAAAAATAAATAATGAAGGCCGAGCACAGTGGCTCACACTTGTAATCCCAGCCAAGGCAGGCCGAGGTCAGCAGTTTAAGACCAACCTGGCCAACATGGCAAAACCCCGTCTCTACTAAAAATAGAAAAATTAGCCAGCCATAGTTGCGTGTATCTGTAGTCCCAGCTATCTGGGAGGCTGAGGCAGGATAATCGCTGGAAACCAGGAGGCGGAGGTCACAATAAGCCGAGATTGTGCCACTGCACTCCAGCCTGGACGACAGAGCGAGACTCCATCTCATAAATAAATACGTTTGCTTTAAAAGCATATTATTGACCTACCTGTAAGGTTGAGGGAATAATTGTGGGAAAAGATGTAGGGTTGTAAGGGGCTAGAAAAACCCATGCAGCTAATAGAGGAGGAATGGAAAGCAGATACTGTGAAAGGTAGCACAGGAAGAGAGGCAAAATCCATAATTCTTACTTTATTTTTGATCAACACACTACTGCCAATCCTCAGATTAAGGCAAGATAAGCAGATTTATATCATCTTTACTCATATCTTCTGATGAATTTCTTAAAGATGATTCCATATTTATTAAATCAGAAAGCCACAACTACTGTCTTAAGCTGCTTGGAGTGCAAATATGCACGAAGGGGCAAAATTGCAACTCAAATTACTGATTTTTGCTTTTCTTCCCTTCTTCTTGGGTGCTCTTTACTAGTTAGGATTGGGAGATATTGGACTACTACTAAAATTTAGTGTTTATATCATTCTACCTCTCAACCACTACTTTATACTTAATGTTTTGTTCTTTTAATATAGGCAGAGGTTCAAGAAACCAGGAAGATGAGTGATCATAATTTTCACATTTTATATGTAATGAGTTATTTTATGCCTCTTTCTCCCAGAAGACTTCTTACTCCCATGAGGGCAAAGGCTATGTTATTCATGTCTAGCTAATGCCCAGCATAGTAACTCATTACGAATGAGTAAACCTAATTTATTCAGTGAATGAATAAATCTTAATTTATTATTTTAGAATACATTTCTGTTTTAAATTTATTTATTTATTTATTTTTAGATATGCAACCATTGTCGCCAATTCCTGTCCATGAACGCTACAGTTCTCCTACTGCAGGGAGCGCTAAGAGAAGACTCTTTGGCGAAGACCCCCCAAAGGAAATGCTTATGGACAAGATCATAACAGAAGGAAAAAAATTGAAAATCGCTCCTTCTTCAAGCATTGCCGCTGAAAATATATCAATTTTACCTGGTCAGACTCTTCTAACAATGGCCCCAGGCCCAGTAACAGGAACAGCAGGACATAAAGTTACAGTTCCATTACATGGTAGCATTTTAAGGCATTTGTTTTCTATTTTTTCTGAGTTGGATAAAAATTTAAGAAATGTCTTACTGGATTAGATCACATGGTTTTTCCTAAATAATTTTTTTCTCGAATCTATACTTTTTTTCTTTTTTTAATAGATTTGATTTTTTTTAGAGCAGTTGTATATTCACAGCAAAATTCAGAGGAAGGTACAGGTATTTCTTATATTCCCCCCTTCCCACACCAGAGTGCTACATATGTTGCAGTTGATGAACCCACATTGACACATTACCCAAAGCCCATAGTTTAGGTTAGAGTTCACTCTTGGTGTTGAATAGTTTGATTTTGAGAATGTATAATGACATGTATCTGTCACTATAGCTCCATACAGGGTAGTTTCATTGCCCTATAAATCCTCTGTACCCCACCTTTTCTTTTGTTTTAAATCTATAGTGTTTTTTAAATTTTCAAATTATATAAATTTACTCTTTGTTTATACTTATTTTACTTTTTTTTTTTTTTATTCTGCGACAGGGTCTTACTCTGTCACCGAGGTTGGAGTGCAGCAGCATGATCTCAGCTCACTGCAACCTCTGCTCCCAGGCTGAAGTGATCCTCCCACCTCAGCCTCCTGAGTAGCTGAGATCACAGGCAAGTGCCTCCACTCCCAGCTAATTTTTGTATTTGTGGTAGAGATGGGGTTTCACCATGTTGCCCAGGTCTCGAACTCCTGAGCTACTTTTTATTTTCTTATCTGGGCTTTCCAATGTGTATGTTTGAACAAAAATTCTGTTTTTTGACTAACATCTAAAGTGCTTAAAAAAATTGTAATGCTTTTTTTGAATAAATTTAAACTATAAGCGCATCACAGGCACATACAAAATAAAGAACAAAATTTGCTTCTTTTCAGTAAATTTAAAGTACGAAAACAAAACAATATTCTTGTTTCAGGGAAGAAATAGAAAATAAGGATTTGTGCAGGGCATGGTAGCTAACACCTGTAATCCCAGCACTTTCAGAGACTGAGGCAAGAGGATCACTTTAGCCCAGGAGTTTGAGACCCAGACTGGGCAACATAGTAATATCCTATCTCAACAAAAAATTAAATTAGCTGGGCATGGTGATGTGTGTCTGTGGTCCCAGCTACTCAGGAGGCTGAGGCAGGAGAATCATAAGCCCAGGAATTTGAGGTTTCAGTGAGCCATGATCGTGCCACTGCACTCCAGTCAGGACAACAGAGCAGAACCTTGTCTCAAAATACATATATATATATTGGGGGAGGCAGGGGCCAGCCATAGTGACTCAAACCTGTAATCCCAGCACTTTGGGAAGGAGGGCAGATCACGTGAGGTCAGGAGTTTTAAACCAGCCTGGCCAACATGGTGAAACCCTGTCTCTACTAAAAATACAAAAAAATTTAGCTGGGTATGATGGTACATGCCTGTAGTCCCAGCTACTTGGGAGGCTGAAGCAGGAGAATTGCTTGAACCTGAGAGGTGGAGGTTCAAGTGAGCCAAGATCATACCACTGTACTCCTATGTGGGCAAAAGAGCAAGGCTCCGTCTCAAAAAAAAAAAAATGCTATCTGACTAAAGCACAAGAGGGTGCAGTGGCTTATGCCTGTAATCCTAGCACTTTGAGAGATTGAGGCAGGCAGATCACTTGAGCTCAGGAGTTCGAGACCAACCTGGGGAACATGGCAAAACTCCGTCTCTTAAAAAAATATATACAAAAAAAACAGGCCGGGCACGGTGGCTCACGCCTATAATCCCAGCACTTTGGGAGGCCAAGGCGGGTGGATCACAAGGTCAAGAGATCGAGACCATCCTTGTCAACAAGGTGAAACCCCGTCTCTACTAAAAATACAAAAATTAGCTGGGCATGGTGGCGTGTGCCTGTAGTCCCAGCTACTCTGGAGGCTGAGGCAGGAGAATTGCTTGAACCCAGGAGGTGGAGGTTGGGGTGAGCCGAGATCATGCCACTGCACTCCAGTCTGGGTAACAACAGCGAAACTCTATCCCAAAAAAAAAAAAAAAAAAAATAGCCAGACATGATGGCTTGCAGCTGTAGTCCCAGCTATTTGAGGGGCTTGAGGTGGGAGGATCACTTGAGCCCAGGAGGTCAAGGCTGCAAAGAGCTGATATGGTGCCACTGCACTTCACCCTGGGTGACCAAGTGAGACCCTGTCTCAATAAGAATTCAGTCATAACCTATAATTACTATTTTGTAGCCTTTTAATACACACAAATGTATGTATATATAATTGACAAACTATATGTAGTTGACAATTTTTCAAGAATATATGCAGATTATTTCTAATAATGTTTATACATTCAGGTGTTGCAAATGATGCTGGAGAGATCATGCTGATACCTATTTCCATGAATACAAATCAAGATTCCAAAGTCAAGAGTCCTGTATCACTTACTGCTCATTCATTAATTGGTGCTTCTCCAAAACAGACCAATCTGACTAAAGCACAAGAGGTACATCCAACTGGAATAAGCAAACCAAAGAGAACTGGGTCCTTAGCACTATTTTACAGAAAGGTATGTGTTTTTATAGCATTTAAAAAGAGTTCATTTAATCAGTGGAAGAAAGATTGAGTAACAGAGACAGACTTTGGTCCCTTTTTTTAAATATACATAACAAATTTTATCATTTTAACCATTTTTAAGTATATAGTTCAATTGTATTAAATACATTCACACTGTTGTGCAACTATTCAGTATTGCTACCATCCATCTCCAGAACTTTTTGTATTCCCATTCTGAAACTCTGTACCCATTTCTCCCTTCCCCCAGCTTCTGGCAACTACTATTCTACTTTCTGTTTCTGTGAATTTGACTACTCTAGGTTCCTCACATGAGTGAAATCATATGGTATTTGTTCTTTTTGTAACTGGCTTAGCATAATGTCATGTGGTTTCATCCATATTATACCTTGTGCCAGAATTTCCTTTCTTTTCAAGGCTGAATAATATTCCATTGTATAAAGAAGAGAAAAAAGAGAACAAAAGAAAAAAGTACTCCATTGTATGAATATACTTTTTTTTAATACCATATTTTGCTTATTCATTCATCTGTTTATGGGCATTTGGGTTGTTTCTACCTTTTGACTATTGTGAATAATGCTGCTGTGAACATTTGTGTACAGATAACTGTTCAGACCAGGTGCAGTAGCTCACGCCTGTAATCCCAGCACTTTATGAGGTTGAGGCAGGAAGATCACTTGAACCCAGGAGTTTGAGACCATGCTGAGCAACATAGTGAGACCTTATCTCTACAAAAATTTAAAATATTTTAAAAAAAAATTAGCCAGGTGTGGTGGCATATTCCTATAGACCTGGCTACTTTGGAGGCTGAAGTAGGAGGATCACGTGAGCCCAGGAGGTTGAGGCTGCAGTGAGTTGAGATCATGCCACTGCACTCCAGCCTGGGCAACAGAACAAGGCCCTGCCTTAAGAAGAAAAAAAAATAGCAACGAATATCTATTCAAGTCTCTGCTTTCAATTCCTTTGGGTATATTCCCAGAAATGGGAGAGTAATTCAGTATTTAATTTTCTGAGGAACCATGATACCATTTTCCACAGTGGCTGGACCATTTTACATTCCTACCAGCAAGGCACAAGTGTTCCACGTTCTTCACATCCTTGCCAATGTTTGGTGTTTTCTGGTTTATTTGTTTTTTTGATAATGGCCATCCAGTGAGTATAAAGACACATCTTATTATAGTTTCAATTTTCATTTCCCTAATGATTAGTGATGTTGAGTATCTTTTCATGTGCTTTTGCCCATCTATATATCTTCATTGTAGAAATGTCTGTTCAAGCCTTTTGCTCATTCTCTAATTACTTTTTTTGGGTTTTGTTGTTGAATTGTAGGAGTTCTTTATGTGTCCTAGATATTAATCCCCTATAAAATATACTATTTACAAATATTTTCTCCCATTATATGGGTTGTCTTTTCATTCTGTTGATAGTGTTCTTGACACATGAAAGTTTTTAATAAAGTCAATTTATTCTTTTTATTTATTGTCTATGCTTTTGGTGTCATATACAAGAAATCATTGCCAAATCCAATATTATGAAACTTTTCCCCTATGTTTTCATCTAAGAATTTTATAGTTTTTGGCTCTTACATTTATTGTGTCTATTATTTATTTATTTATTTATTTTCTGAGATGGAGTCTCACTCTGTCACCTAGGCTGGAATGCAATGCCACGATCTTGGCTCACTGCAACCTCTGCTGCCTGGGTTCAGGCAATTCTCCTGCTTCAGCCTCCTGAGTAGCTGGGATTACAGGCACCTGCCACCGTGCCCAGCTAATTTTTGTAGTTTTAGTAGAGATGAGGTTTCCGCATCTTGGCCAGGCTGTTCTTGAACTCCTGACTTAGTGATCCAACCACCTCGGCCTCCCAAAGTGCTGGGATTACAGGTGTGAACCACCGTGCTTGGCCTATTATAGCTATTTTTTTTTTTTTTGAGACAGTATCTCACTTTGTCACCCAGGCTAGAGTGCAGTGGCACAATCACAGCTCACTGCAGCTTCCACCTCCCGTGTTCAAATGATCTTCCCACCTCAACCCCCCTACGTAGCTAAGACTACAGGCATGTGCCACCATGCCTGGCTAGTTTTTTGTTTTGTTTTGTTTTTTGGGGTTTTTTTTGAGATGGAGTCTCACTCTGTCACCCAGACTGGAGTGCAGTGGTGTGATCCCAGCTCACTGCAACCTCCACCTCTCCGGTTCAAACAATTCTCCTGTCTCAGCCTCCCAAGTAGCTGGGACTAGAGGCTCATGTCACCACGCCTGGCTAATTTTTGTATTTTTAGTAGAGATGGAGTTTCACCATACTGGTCAGGCTGGTTTCAAACTACTGACCTCAGGTGATACACCCGCCTTGGCCTCCCAAAGTGCTGGGATTACAGGTGTGAGCTACCGTGCCCAGCCTATTTTTGCATTTTTTTGTAGAGACAGGTTTCATCATGTTGCTCAGGCTGGTCTGGAACTCATGAGTTTAAGCGATCTGCCCGTCTCAGCCTCCCAAAGTGCTGGAATTATCACCGTGAGCCACCACGCCCAGCCCATTTTAATTTTTGAATATGGTGTTAGATAAGGATCTAAAGTCATTCTTTTGCACATGAATATCAACTTTTCCCAGCACCATTTGTTGAAAAGACTGTCCTCATTGAATGAGCTTAGAATCCTTGTTGAACAGTCACTTGATCATAGACATGGGGGTTTAATTCTGGGCTCTGTATTCTATTCATTGGCCTATATGTGTGTCGGTATTCAGCGCTACACTGTTTTGATAACCATAGCTTTGTATCATAAGTTTTAAAAGCAGGAGGTGTCCTGTAATCCCAGCACTTTGGGAGGCTGAGGCGGGTGGATCATGAGGTCAAGAGATCGAGACCATCCTGGTCAACATGGTGAAACCCTGTCTCTACTAAAAATAAAAGAAAAAAAAATTAGCTGGGCATGGTGGCGTGAGCCTGTAATCCCAGCTACTCAGGAGGCTGAGGCAGGAGAATTGCCTGAACCCAGAAGGTGGAGGTTGCGGTGAGCCGAGATCGCACCATTGCACTCCAGCCTGGGTAACAAGAGCAAAACTCCGTCTCAAAAAAAGAAAAAAAAAAATCAGGAGGTGTGAGACCTCCAACTTTGTTTTTCTTTATTAAGATTGTTTTGGCTATTCAGGATTTCTTGACTGTCCATATGAATTTTAGGATGGGTTTTTCTCTTTCTGCAAACACATTGTTGGAATTTTGATAGAGATTGCATTGAATATAGAGATTGCATTGGCCAGTGTTGACGTCTTAAGAATATTAAGTCTTCCAGTCCATGACCATAAGATGTCTTTTCGTTCATTTGTGTCTTCTTTAATTTCTTTCAGCAATATTTTGTAGTTTTCAGTATATGTCTTTTGTAAGACAAGTCCTTGCTTAAGATTATTCCTAAGTATTATATTATTTTTGATGCTATCGTAAGTGGAATTGTTTTCTTAATTTCATTTTTTAGATTGTTCATTAATATAAAAGAACACAAGTGGTGGTGGTGGTGTATTGATTTTTTTATTTTGCAGCTTTGCTGATTTATTTATTAGTTCTATTAGTTTTTATGGATTCTTTAGGTTGTTTGGGTTTTCCATATATAAGATCATGTCATCTGTGAACAAAGATAATTTTACTTCTTTTTTTTTGAGACGGAGTTTTGCTCTTGCCCAGGCTGGAATGCAATGGTGCAATCTTGGCTCACCGCAACCTCCGCCTCCTGGGTTCAAGCAATTCTCCTCCCTCAGCCTCCCGAGTAGCTGGGACTACAGGCACACGCCACCATGCCCAGCCAATTTTTGTATTTTTAGTAGAGACGGGGTTTCACCTTGTTGACCAGGATGGTCTCCATCTCTTGACCTCATGATCCACCCGCCTCGGCCTCCCAAAGTGCTGGGATTATAGGCGTGAGCCACTGCACCCAGCCTAGATAATTTTACTTCTTTCTTTCCAATTTGGATTTCTCTTTCTGCCTAATTGCTCTGGCTAGGATTTCCAGTTCTATGTTGAATAAAATTGGTGAAAGCAAACATCCTTGTCTTACTCCTGATCTTAGAGGAACAGCTTTCAGGTTTTCAGTTTTTGAGTATGATGTTAGCTATGGGTTTTTTATATAGTTGACCCTTGAACAACATGTTTTTGCACTGTACAAATCCACTTATATACAGATGTTATTAAGCGAACAAAGCATGAAAATACAATATTTGAGAAATGTGAAACCTGTGTATACAGAGGGCCAACCTTGTTTTTTTGTTTTTTTGTTTTTTTGTTTTGCAGGGAGATGGACTCTTGCTCTGTTATCCAGGCTGGAGTGCAGTGGCACAAACTCGGCTCACTGCAACCTCCCCCTCCCAGGTTCAAGCAAGTCTTCTGCCTCAGGCTCCTGAGTAGCTGGAATTACAAATGCAGACCACCATGCCCAGCTAATTTTTGTGTTTTAGTAGAGACAGAGTTTTACCAGATTAATCAGGCTGGTCTCTTGAACTCCTGACCTTAGGCGATCCTCCCTCCTTGTCCTCCCAAAGTGCTGGAATTGCAGGGGTTAGCCACTGCACCTGGCCAAGGGCCAACTTTTTGTACATGGGGGTTCCACAGGGCCAAATGCAGGACTTGAGTATGCACAGATTCAAGTATATGCAGAGGCTGCTGGAACAAATCTCCTATGTATGCCAAAGGATGACTGTATCTCCTTTATTATGTTTAGGTAGTTTCCTTCTCTTCCTAGCTTGTTAAGTAGTATTATTATAAAAGGGTGTTAAATTTTGTCGAATGCTTTCTCTGTATTGAAATGATTATATAGCCTTTTTCCCTTTGTTCTGATAATATGGTGTGTTACACAGATAGATTTCCTAATGTTAAATTATCATTGTCTTCTAAGAATAAATTCTACTTCGTCATGGTGTGTATCCTCTTCATATGCTGTTGAATTTGTTTTGCTAGTATTTAGTTGAGGAGTTTTGCACCAGTATTCATAAAATACAGTGTTCTGTATTTT